GAGTCCTGTCCCTGCTGGCTGCTGGGCTGCTGGGGCTCTGTGCCTGCATCCTGCCAGCTGTGGGAGTGAGTCTGGAAAAACCCTAAGCTTCATTTGCCCTGGTAGTGAGGATAATCAATACTTGTCAACCCCTATAAAAGCATGTGCATGCTTTAAGTATTTATGATGTGTTGTAAGAAATTCCAGGTGCAGAACAACTTGATTGATGTCAGAGGTGGACACATGTTTTCTGCCAGTCAGCATTACTTTAAGGGTGGCTCTTCTTGTTGGCTGAGAAGTTTAATTTTTGAAATGTAGTTTCAGCTCTTGTATTATTCTGAAAAGTTTTCTGTTCAAAACAGTGTTTGAAAATGAAAACAAATTTTAAAAGCTCACATGTGTTTTCTCTTCATGGGTGGATTGAATATATGAGGCAGGTGCCATTCCTGTGGCAATTTTAATACTAATAGGTGTGGTGTATTGATGAGAGTAATGGAGAAGTTGTAGTCAAAGTCAGAATTCAATTAATCAGGTTGAGATTAGTTGCTGAAATTAGAACTGTTCTTTATATTGAATCCCTGTTCTGTAGATTCCAATTTCTAATATTTTTGAATAGATATGTTTTGTAGACGTAATCCATCTTCAGTTTGGAAGAGTGTAAAATTAATCAACTCCCAGTTAAAAAAGTGATGTCTGTCTTAAAATACCTCCCAAAAAGTAGTTGGGGATACCTGACTGTTGTTTTTTAACCTGATTATTTATGAGGATCCTGAAAAGTTTACTTGGAGGAGTTTCCACTGTCTGTTTTAATCCACTTGTATTGTTCCCTCTGCTTAGTGGCCTGCGTCAGAGGAGGAGCAGGAAGGGACGTGTTGCTCCTGCCCAGCCCTGGCTGCTCCCTGGGGGTGCAGGCTGGCTGTGGCTCACCTGGGCACGCTGGTGCCCCCTCTGCCAGGCTGCCACCTGGGGCTCCTCCCCATTTCTCCTGGCTCAGTGATGCCCGTGCTTTCAAACCACCCTGCTGGGCTGGAAGTCCCCCAGTCAGGGCTCTGTGCTGCCTGCTGAAGCCCTGGCTGCTGTCCCTGCCCTCCAGGCCAGCGTGGTGCTGCAGGTGGCACCCTGGGCTGCTCAGCTCTGTGCCCCACGTCCTTCCCAGCCGGGCTTTCCTCGGTGGGATGTTTGCAGCTGGGTGCCCACACACAAACTGTTGTTGCCTGGTCACTCCTTTAGTCCTGAGCCAGCTGTGGTGGGGACAGAGGGACACTGGGCAGTCCTCAGGGAATGGTGTACAGGCTTCCCTTGCCCTCCTGCTCCCAGTTTGCTGGGCAGGTGTTGAGGACCATTTAGAATATGTTTGGTTTAAGGTATTCACATTTGGGCATGGGGTGGCCTGGCCAGGTGATGGATGGGATGTACATGTTAGTGGCAGGAAACTGTGGAAGATGGAATGACACCTTTCCTCGTGGAGTGACTTTTAGATTTGCACCACATTTGTATCAGTAAATGTCAGAGAGACTTCTGTGTGTTTTTGACAGGAGGCCCTTGGCTCTGGCAGCTTCCTGGCCTCTTGGCCTCGCAGTGGGTTTGTTTGTTCAGGCTTTTCCTGGGTAAGCAATCTGGCTGCTCTGGCTCGTCTCTTTTGGAGTTAGCTTTTTTTTTGAACATTAATTTGATTTAGTTTGTTTTACATAAATGGTGGGTGCGGTGTTAAGTTCATCCTGAGATTTGGAATCTGTATCTCATCTAATAAAAACCAGCATGAAATGGCATGAAGTGTTACATTCAAAAAATTAGCTCAGGTCTTTTGGACTATCTCACTCTTTTGTGTTTTATTGTATATTCTCTGGAAAGACAACAGAATCCATAAAGAACACCAATTGAAGGCAAACTTTTGCCAGATTTTAAAGTTGAGGTTGGAAACTTTTTTAAAGCACTGGTCAATTTCTTGTGTTGATTCAGGGAAAAAATTGCCTTCTCTTCTAGCAGGGTAATTCCAAACAGGACAGATGGGGGATTGGACTCCTCATGCTGGTCCTAAACAAACTGGGGTTACCAAATTCCACTCATCTCAACGTCTTCCCTCTTTATTCATATCTTTTGTGACTGATGAAGTTAGGAAAAATCATTTTTTTCTGGGAAGTATTTAAGCAAAAATATTTGGATGCTACATTTTTAAAAAGTAGTGAACAGATTTGCATTTGCACTCATTTTCCTGCAATTTCTGTCTCCTCTATGCAAATGTGGCCATTTTCAGAGGATCTTGTGCAGCTGTCTGATTCTCTGGAAGTTCAAACAATCCAAACTTGTCATAGTTCCTTAACTTTGGCATTAACTCCTTGAAGTGAGAATGCAAACAGCATGCTGAGCTTTTCCAAGCAGTTCAGTGTGGAGCTGGGTTTCTATTATATATTAGTTCTATTACAGTCTTTAATAGTACCTGAACAGCACTGTTTTGGTTTTGATTACATGAAGAAAGGACTAAAATACCTTTTTGTGTGGTGTGGTAACTTTTTTGGTAATTCCTTCATTTGGTTTCTGTATTTCTGTTTTCCACAAAATTAATGATAAGCTTATATTTTTGGTGATAGCATGTTGTTCTTGTATCACTAGATGGAAACCCTTGGTTTCTTTTTTCCTAACGTAGCCTGAAGTCTGTGCAGTTCGGAGTGGAGCTCTAACTTAGTGCATGCACCAAAAGCAGTGGGGAAGGGAGAGCATGGGAACCTTCTGTGCTTCACTTTTTCAGGAAAAGATTCAAAAGGAGGAATGTTTATTTTGTATGTAGCATGTCAGAGAGCTCATTATAGAGTTTCAGACATAGTATTCAGACACACGTCTGGTATTGAGGCGTGCAGCTTTCCTCTCTTTGAATAAATATCAGCTGAAGATACAAGCTGTCCTCTTTAAGCTTCTTTGTAGGTTTTATTACAAGAGATTTTTGAAGCTGAGGAATTGAGTAAGTACCTGCAGGTTTGGCTACAAAATTGTCTAGAAGTGAAACACAATGATTTTTCATTTTTGTTTACAACTGTAGAAAATATGAAGCCACCATTTTTATATTCCTTGCATTTATGTTCTTTTAGGATGCAGCAGGTTTATATATTAGCTAAATATCTGACCATTCCAAATGATGAGTTCAGTGTGTTTGATCCTGAAAGGCTGTGTGTAGTCACAAGCACTGAGCTGAGGTACATCTCTGATAATCTCATCTAAATCAGTACCCTAGAGCTTGAAAACCCCTCATTCTTATTTTTTTCTTTAATGATCATCTTTTAAGTTCCTCTGCAATGAGAAATTTCATGTCTACTTAGGAAAAACAATCACTAATTTACTTATATGTTGCATTTAAATGAACCAACTCTCTTGTTCCATCTACATTTATATGCAATCAAGGAAACCAATTTAATCACGCTCTCCACTGTAAGACACCATAACTTGTAAAATAAGGAGAAAATTACTTTCAGCTATGTATGTGACATCAAGAATTCCTAGAAAATTATGGTTTTAATGAGTTTTTGTGATTTGACACATTCAGTGTGAATATTGAGAGAAGTAGTTAAAAAGGTAAGTAGTCAGCTTGGAGTACTTTAAGGATGCTGAAATGCATATGGGAGTTTCTTTGAGATTTAGGTTTTAAAAAGTGCCAATACGAAAGAATATTTGCTCTAGATCTCTGAAGCAGAACCATCTGCATCAATGGTTTCCTGAAAAACTTGTGTTCTGTTGTTTTAGTGGGAGTGAGACTACCCAGCTCTGGATGTTTTGTCCTGCTGTGTCTTGCTGTCTTCTTTATCTGTGGGATGCTTGTATCCTACATATGTGCCAAAATGGGAATGAATGAATATTGTGTGCGTTCAGACAGATGGAAATAAGAAATTTTGACTGAAAATAAAATCTTTGTTCCCCAGCCATTCTGACAATATTGCTACAGATTTCACTGCTCAAATATAATAGCTAAAGGAACATTTTGTTATCAAAGGTTCCTGGATTATTCTACCAAGTGCCTTTGACATTGCAATTGCTGCAGTAAGGAAAAGAATGTTCTTGTTTGATAGAATCAAGTAGGGGGTGTGTAGGAGAGGTAGAGAGTGGCCTGAAGTGTGACTGGTGCTAGGACTGGGCAAACTGATGGCAAACACAGAAACCAAATGAAGGAATTACTGAAAAATTTACCATGACACACAATTCTGATATTGTCCTGACACTGTCTGATGAGTGTGTGGTGTTGAACACCTTGTGCTCCATCTCATCCCTTCCCACTGCTCAGGCTCTGTTCACCTGTGGATGCCTTCAAGGAGCTCTTGGCTCTCCAGCTGCACCAGGGTGTGCCAGTTTGAGCAGGGCAGTACAGAAGTTTTGTTTCCTCCCTACTTTGATGTGTGCTGAGGGTGTTATTTATACCACTCAGGTTCTCTTAGGCAGTTGTGCCTCGTATACCACCTTGTGTATGAGAGATGCTGCCTGCCCATCACACTGGAATGGGATATGAATGTTGTATTTCTCAGCTAATCTCAGGTAGGATTAGGCACATTTGTCTGTTGTTGTACTAAATAAAAAACTAGGGGCCTGTATCTGTTGACTTAGTAAACTATTAAAATGAATGGGAGAGTTCTGCAATAAATTACGGTGCATGAGGAAAAGTTTTAATTGATTTCATTTTTAAATTATTTTTAAAGGATGAGATTAGAAAATGTGATTAACTCCCCTTGAGCTCTGCAGTAACAGCCTTTCACTGTTCTTAACTGTGCAAGACTTGCACTGGGGATTAGCCAGACTCTTAAGTTTGACAGCCTACAATGAAATAATTAACAAGAAAATATCCAACAGTGTTGAGTTTAGCAACAGGATGACACTGGCTTCTAACAGCCTTTTAAACTCAGTGCAGCTCTCTCCCTCTTTGAATCTTGGGTGTTGCTGACAGTGTGTGCCCAGAAATGTGAACCAGGACACTGCAGGAGTTAAATTCTTAAACCTTCTCATTGTTCTCTGATGTATAACGTTTCTTTTTTTCCCCTTCACAGGAAATGACCTAGAGGCCTTACAAATACATTTGTGCATTTTTGTTCTGAGTCTGCAATTGAGGGCAAACGCAGTCTGGAAGCACCACTTCTTAAAGTTACAACGGAAACAACTACCTCAACAAACAGGGAAAGGGGAAGAAGGCTTGCAATAACAAACACTCTAGTTTTTAATAGCTTATATTTGCAAAGTCTTCTCTAAACAGTCCAGATTTTTTCCCCCCTCCAATATTAAGAAGAGACACTACAAGTAAACTGAGTTGGCAGACTGGATCTGTCAAGACATTTGAAGATATTTGATCTGCTGACGTAAGGATTTGCTTTTTCAAGGAAAGAGCCTCTGCACTGCTTTTATAATCGCTGTTGATCGGTGGTTTACTCCACTTTTGCTGATACCTATTAATGGGAGAATTGTATTAAGGTATTGCTTCTAAAACTGTTATTTGCATTGACAGAATTAACTTTTGTAGATGCAACAGCAACGGACAATGTTACACTCGTGAAGAACTTGTAAGCGATCACTTCTCTGCTCCAGTTGGCTTTTCTGCCTGCGGAGGGGATACCACACAAGAGACAGAGCATTATTAAGATACTTGGGCTTGCTTTTTGAGTACAGTTTATAACTGCAGCAGGGCTGCACTGAACATTGAAAACACAGAGTCAGCAAATCTGCTGCTGTTCCCACTGCTGATACAGATTATACAGACGCTTGCCTTTCTGAAATGCCTTTTGTGAAACCTATGTACACAGTCCTGCGCTGTAACTGTACATAGATACCCGAGGAAGGAATTTGACAAGTGATTGTTAATTCAAGAGCTCTCTGGACAAGCACTCACTTATGTATTGCTGCAGTGCACAAGAAAGCAAAATGGACTATAAGCGGCGCTTTTTGCTTGGCGGGTCCAAGCAGAAAGTGCAGCAACACCAGCAGTATCAAATGCCCGAGCTGGGCAGGACCCTGAGCGCCCCGCTGGCATCGGCCACCCCCAGCACCCCCCTGGTGTCCCCGGCTGCTGCGGGCGGCTGCTCCCACCCCGCCTCCCACACGACGCCGATCGCAGACATCCAGCAGGGAATCTCCAAATACCTGGATGCACTCAACGTCTTTTGCCGTACGAGCACTTTCCTTACAGACCTTTTCAGCAGCGTGTTCAGGAACTCGCACTACTCTAAGGCAGCTATGCAACTGAAAGACGTGCAGGAACATGTCATGGAAGCGGCGAGTCGACTCACAGCAGCAATAAAACCAGAAATAGCAAAAATGCTGATGGAACTGAGTGCAGGAGCTGCAAACTTCAAAGATCAAAAAGAGTTCAGCCTACAAGATATTGAGGTAAGTTACCTTGCAGGATACTGTTTTGCTCATGAATTTGTATCGTTCCTTCTTAACTGGATTTCTCTTCAAAATCTCTTCTACACCAGAAGTTTTGTCCACCTTGCTGTGTATTTTTGCATAATGCTGGTGGAGAAATAAACTCTTCATTTATGTACTAAGAAAGTACTAAGTCATTTGTGAGATCTGACCTCCATCTATGTTAAATTAAGTATTTGGTAGGTATTCCTGTAGAAGAACCAAGTAGACAAAAGTTTTAAATAATTTTCTGGTTTGTTAGCTAACGTTTCTAAAAATGTTATGCCATTGTATTCTAAATCAGCCTACACTTTCCTTGGTATTATCCATTCTGAGGGGAAACCTGATCACATGGGAGTAGCATATTGTCATCAGTGTTTCAGTTAAACTATGTATTTTATCACTCTTCAGAGCATTTTTGTCTTTTTGAGCTGTTGTGAGAAGAAAATAACACACTGTGTGAGACTAGCACTGTAAAAATTTGTCATGACTTTGCTACAATGCTCATATTCTGGCAGGGGGTGCCCAAGATTCAGGATTCAGAGAGGTTTCCCAACTTCTGCCACACCTGCCTGGGAAGGTCTGGGTATTTCTCCTCTGGTAAATGTGTTAACTGATAGTCACAGATAAATTCCTGAAGTTTTAACTAGTTCCTTGTGTTTTGACATATTTCTTCACTTTGCAGCAGTCTTGAGAGTTATTCCTTCAGAACTACATCCTGAATGGAAAACCTACTTTTAAATTCTCTTGGTTTTGATTCAGATTTCAGGTAGCTTTGTAAGAGTGAATGCTTGTGCCTGTCAGGCATTATCTGCTGTCTCTAACTGCACCACTTCCAGATGGAGTCGTTAGGGAGGATGCAATTTGTCAGTGACAGCTCTCCCTGCAGCTGTGTACTACAGTTCTCAGTGTTGTATACTTGGTATAGAATGAAGTAAGATGGGCTATATTTGTTATAGATGTCTTAAGACAGTCCAATAATATCTCTCTAGCTAAAGCTATAGCCATGTATATAAAAAAGAGTGACTTTATGTAATTAATCTTTATAATGGATGTGCTGAAAGACTTTCTGAATTTAAAAAACAAAAACATATGAAGCACTGGATGTCTTCTAGGGGTTTTTGTGGATTTGGAAATGCTGTCCTTCCAAACGCTGGAGTCATCTGTAGAGCTGCTTTTGTCACATGAGCAGGCAGAGGTGGGTGCTGGCTCTGCCCTGCGCTGTGCAGGGAGGGTTTGCTCAGCAGGGAGCTGAGGAGCAGAACAAAGCAGTGTTTGTGTCAGGTGGGTGCACATCCTGCCAGCTTAGAGGCAGAGACACTTGCTTTAGTCCCAGGTTTACCTGGGCAGGTCTGACCCTTGTTCTGGGCTCCATGTGCACCTGCAGTGCTCCCTCCCCTGCCCCAGCAGCTCTGTGCTGGGAGCAAGTGTGTGTAGAATGCCAGAATGCCAGCAGGGCAGCTGCTCCTGGCCTTTCCTGCCTGCCCCTCTTGGCTGTCCCAGCACTTCTCATTGCACTTTTCTGCTATCTTTTCTTAATTAAAACTGCATCTTGCACGTGGCTTTGAAAAACTCAGTATGTGAGATTTATGCACATCACTGTATAATGAGAGCAGTGTTGTGTTCTGCTTTGGCTTAAGCAGCAGCAGAATGTAGGGCTTTGACAGAGACTCCTGTGGTTGTTCTGTGGGTCAGTCAGGACTCTGGATGAGTGAATTCTGCAGGCAGAGGGGTTGGATGGTTGTGCCCAGGGAGCAGCAGCTGCTCACTCTTGAAATGGACCTTGGCAGAGGCCAGTACAGGAATATAATTGTTTGTAGGTGACTTGAAAGCACAGAATGTAAGTATGCTGGGAGACCTGCTGAACTAAAAATAATCTTGGACAAATTATTTTTCCAGTTGGGATGGAATTCAGGGGGTAAAATTGAATGTTGCAATATTTAAATAGACTTTTTGAGCCTCAGGAGTGGAGCCCACTGGGCAGCACTTCTGGAGAACAGTCCTAGGGCTGTGGGAGTCATGTGTTGGGGAAGACTCAGTGTTGAGCAGTTGGAAATAATAAATCAGTGTTGTTGCTGTTGAGCAAAGAGACATTTACCATGTATTTAACACACCCCTAACCTGCAGGAACCATGAACTAAGCACTGAGCTCTGAACATAACCTGGAAATACCCAGGTTATTATGGCCTTAAACACAGCAGTGCACATGCACAGCACTTGGAGAAATAAGGAGCCAAAGGAGTGTAGCAAGAGTAGTCAGACATCCAGCAAATAGGACATCAGAGGACAGATTGAAGAGATGGACTCTACCGAAGAGGAGGCTGAGAAGGAAAATCAAAATTGCTCAGGTATGTGAGAAGCTGCCAGAACATGTCTGTGTCTGTTCATGTCCCTGTAAGGTGGAGCAAGGAACTTGAAATTTCAGAAGGAAAGATTCACATTAGGTGCTGTGGAAATCCTTTGTAATGTTAGTGGAGTACTGATGTGGGTTGCTGCAAAGGGTAGGGAACAGAGCTGACAAAACAGGTTAAACCTGCATCTAGCAAAACTGACCTAGGTGAAATTTCTCCTTGCACAGAGGTGACCTGGTGAGATCCTCTTCCATTGTGCTTTTCTGGGATTTGAAGACTGAGCTGTTGATGCTGAAATTTCAATTTAAAAAGTGGTTTGCTTTTTTCCCCCCGGTAGATAGAGAAGTTAACATTTCATAAAACTGCCAGCAGGATTAAAAAACTCACAGTGTAAGCAGAAAAACATAAAGGGCTTGTCTGACTTCATCAGAGTTTACTGAACAGGGAAGTGATGGGGGAAGAGTGTGAGGCAGTGGAATTGTTCCCCTGGAAAATACCAGGAGGGGAGTACAGGTGTATCTGAAGTTGCTTTGTCACCTTCTCTAGTGGGTCGCTGAAGGAACTCAAAGCTCTGAGAGAGAATTGAGGTGGTGAAACACCCAAGTGGCAGCTCAGCAGGAGCTAAGAGGCTCAGCAGGACCCTGAGAATGGCTCTGCAGGGGCTCTTATTTGAGGGTTGGATGCTGGTGGCACAGAAACAGGGGGAGGTGAGTTGTAATTCAGGGTGTAGTGGGGCAGAACCCCAAATTCATGAGAGGGACATGAGAATGAGGATTTCTATGTGTGAGTCCAGCTAAGGAAAATGCAATTTTCCTAAACCTTGCTTACAGGCTTGTAGTTTTGGGAAGGAATGAGAAGTCCAAGCAGAACAGGTTTTGCTTTGGGAATCAAGCAGAGAGCTGTGGCTTTTCTCAGGTGCTGCAGGTCTTTATCTGCTGTAGTGGGCTCTGCCCCTTAGAGAGGCAATATAAAGAAAACTTAAGTTTTGGTGAACATACCTGACTTGAATTTGGGCTGGAAGCTGTTGTGCACCCTGGACTATAGCACCAGGGGATGAGGTTTTTAATTTATTTATTGTTACTTAGGGCAAAGCTTGCTAGTTCAGACCTGTCTGCCAGCCTGTGTAAGAAGGTGACTTCCCTTGATCAAAGTGTGGTGACAGATGGAGATTCCCAAGGTTTCTTAATTTCAGAAATGCAAATGCTGATTTTTTTCTTCTTTTTATTTTCCTCTTTCGAACACCTTTGAATTCTTGAGTATTCTGTGCCTGTATGGGTGAGGAACAGCTTGGAAATCAGGTTAAATGAGAGGGTGTTTTTCATTTCTTTTGTCAGCTGAGGGAATGCACTAACTGTATTTCTGTTAATAAAAACATTAAAGCAAATTCATAGGGAGGAGTAAAACTGGTAAGTATATTTCCCCATGTCTTGTGGAGCTTTGCAGAAGCCTCAGTACTGCAAAATATAAGAATTACTTTTAGTTACACAGGGCTTGTGCATTGTCTTACAAGTGGTAGTAATGAGAGGAATGTCAAGGCTGCCTTCCTGTACAAAAGGGAAGCATGGATAGGCACCAGATATATTTTGGATGCTCTGTTCTGTATTAAATGGAGATAATTTTTGGCTTTTATGTGTATAGAATGGCCTAAGATTGTTTGAACAAGAATCTTGTGAGACGAGAATGTCTGAATAAATATTAAATGTAGGCTTTCCTTAGCAACATTGTAAAGCCAAATTTAACTATTTTTAAAATTACTCTTTCCTGGGATTTTCAGGGATTGGCTCCAGACTCTTCTGTATTGAGGAGCTGTTAGTAGCAAAAAAATACTTGGTCTTACATTTTAATTGCTGCTTTTTATTTTTAAAATGCTTCACACTTAATTGTTTTTCTGCTAAATGATAGTGACCACTTCAGTAGCTGTCAAGGTCAGATTATCATGAGTGGCTTTTAGGGTCACTGCTGGAAGAAATGAGTCTGTTGGGTTTCCCAAGTCTTGCAGCTTCTGCTGGAATCTAGTTCAGCCTGCAGGTGATTCCAGCCCATGGGCAGGACTGAGGTGTTGTGTTCATGAGATCACTCTTTGGAACTGCAGGGAACTGCTAGGTAGTAAAATTAAGAATACTCTGCCTGCTTCTGGTAATGTACAGGAAAGTTGCTGGGGCTCAATGGGGCACACCAGTTCAGTGGCAGCCAGGCTGTGCCACCAAGGAGGCTGTTAAGGGAAACCACAGAATATTCTGTTGTGGTGTTTGGCTTTTTGAGCATTCTGCTTGTTTAAGGAAATAGCAAAAAAAAAAAAAGGGGGGGGTGGGGGGATAAGAAAGTTCTACTGCATAGAATGGCACTTGAAGAACTGCAAGCCAATGTTTGTATCAAGTGTGGAAGACTGACACTTGCTATTTGCTGACTTTATTACTGGTAGTGTTCTCTTTTAAGGAATCTGTTTTACAAGATTTTCTTGCAGGGCAATTTGTATGGCATCCCTGTTTAGCAGTGAAAACTGGCAATTTTGTGTACACTTTGTCCAGTGGAATATTTCAAAGTTGATTGTGTGCCCCCATGAGGAGATTAAAGTGGGACAGAGTAACCTACACTACATCTCACCTGGTACTCCCATTGGTAGGGAACCAAAAATCCCATTGCTTCCAACTGCCTGAGCTGGAAAAGAGAGATTCCTTCAGGTAGGGCTCTGCTGAGACAAACAGCTGTCCTGCCTGATACAGGTCAGGGAAGTCAATGTGGTAGAGCTGTGTTCTGTGGGACAAAAAGTTTGGAAGCTGAAGACCTTGTTATACAATATAAATGAGTCTAAGAAATGAAGGGAACATCACTACTCCAAAGGAAATCTCACTGGTTGGCACCTGAGATGATTCCAGTTCAGCTTTGATTCCTGCATAGTTTGTAGGGTTTGTGTTTATTCTGGTCTGAAGGAGGAGAGTCACACACTTCTGCATGGGAAAGTAGGGCAAATAAACTGGAAAAGGACACGGTGGTGTCTCTGACTATGGAGAGCTGCATCCATGTGCTGATGCTATCCAGGTTCCCTGTCTGCTCTGCACTGGGGTCAGTGCCCACCCCTGGTGGGGTGGTCAGATAAGGCAAAGGTGGGGCTCTTCTGCAGAAAATCTGACCAAGTGAGCTCTTTAAAGCTTTAAAATGAGTTTGGCATCTACCATCTATCCAAAGGGAGTATTTAACAGTGCCAAAATCCTCCACCACTTTGATAGTGAAGTAGTTTAAACAATCCTTACCAATTTTGGAGGAAGGCTGAAATGGATTTTTTTCAAACAAAATAAAAGTTCAGTAAAGCAGATGTTACTAATTATCTTCACTGTTTAACATTGTAAGTTGTAAGTAGGAATGTTGTGTGCTACCACTTAAAACCTAAAATAATTTGTTTATTTCAACCTAAAGCCTAAATCATTTGTTTATTTTGAGCATTATTCCCAGACTGGGGAAGCTTCAACCTTTGTACCTTAAGTATTCTTTGAAATTTAATAAGCTTGAAATTCTTAATGAGTGCTCGTTTCATCTTCCCCTGAGAACTGCATTCTTCCTGCACAGAAATAATTCAGATCACCAGTTGCCTCTTCCTGCAGTTTTCTTATAAATCTTTCTAATCTCATACCCAGAAAAGTTGGAATTTTCTTAATTTTATCATTTGCTGACTGCTTTTTTTTTTTTAATAAGACAAGCTCCACTTTCAGAGGTCAGTCAAAGTAGCAAAAATGTTTAATTTTATGCCTTGTACAAAGAAGGGAAGTGATTGAACCAGAATGGAATGTCCAAAAGGAGTCTGGATGGAGTGAAAAAAGCATTGCCACCAGTGGTTCTTGTGGAGTAGATAGTAAATGCATATAGCTGTTGGTGTGACTGCAGAGTCCTGCCAGGAGGATACATTGTGTCTGGATAGTTTTATTCCAGAAGAATGTAGCTGAAAATAAGGCAGATGATTTAATGGCTCCAAGGCAGGATGGCTTTGTACATTATCTGCGTATTTTATGAATTATTCCTAAAATGGAATTCAAGTTGAATCTTTTTTTAATAAATCAAAGTCACATACACATTTTAAAGAGCTTTGTGTGATAAACTCCATAAAAGAAACAGTTTGAATAGCTTTGAAATACTTTTCTGCAGTAATGTGGAGAATCCTCCTTCCTCTGCAGCCGTCCAGTTTTACACTTGTCAGCTTTTTCCTGCCCAGGGAGCGATCCCCGGGAGCCTTGGCTCTGCAGGGTGTCCCTGGGCGCTGGCACTGCTGCTCCTGCCCGGAGTCCTCCGGCACAGCAGCTCTGCTGCGCTGCGCTGCCCGAGATGGCCGAGGGCCCCTGGGCGCAGCGGGGCAGGGATGCAGGGCTGGCACCTCCTGCCCTGGGCCGGGAGCCCCTGC